CACAGGGCGTTAGGGTGGGTGACAGCTCGCGCGCTTGTGATTTGGGTGTCTGTGCGTCTGCACTGGGGGCTGTCGCCGACGTCACGTAACCGGTGGAGCTGGGTTATGACCCCTTTACAGTCAGAGGTGAACTGTGTGGTCGAAGCAGAGGAGAGTGTAGAAATCCCGTGAGGGGCGGGTGGGCCGGGGGGAGCGTGGTGGGTGCCCAGCCCTGGGAGCCACGAGCAAGCCAGCACCAGAAGGCGGAGACTCGCCCGCCACACTCAGCGCCCGGGTCCGCTGCCGTCACTGGACGCCTGCTGCCGTGCGGCGTGGACAGTCCCCGTGGCGGTGCGTTGGACCTGGACACCCTTAGCTCTTAGCCTAACTGGACGGGGGGTGGGAGCGTGGACGCTCAGGGACGATACGTTCCACGACACGGTGCTGCCTCCCGAAAGCTGAGGGTCTCGTGAGCGCGCAGAGTTGCGCCCCTTCGAATGCGCCTGGCCTGGGGAGTTGCTGAAAAGACCAACGTTTAAGCCTCCCATGACTTCCAGGGCGTCGTGATCAGCTCGGGCCTCCTTATGGCTACCCCTTGTCTCATAATCCATGTTCCATTCATAATGGAAGGATGAGGGAACGGCGGAAAGGCTAGCGGGCACGAACTCGGCTCCTGTCCCAGTGTGTGGCAAATATTTCGCCTGATTTTTAAGCCGACGCTAAGGACTAGTTTACGTTACCCGCCTTCAGGACCTAGGAGGGGGCTCAGGCTCAGACCCACGGCGCGGGTCCTGTAGCCGGGGAGCGGGCTGCAAACGCGCTTCTTTCTTAGCCCGTGGACACTAAGAAACCGACCAGCGTCGATGGCCGGTGTGAGACGGGCCCTCGCGGCCTCCTCTCTCCTGCCCCTTCTCCCCCATGCCGCCGAATACCCACGAAACCCCTTGTCCCCTGCCGCGGCTTGGTGGGCGGGTGGACGCCATGTGGCCCCGCGGGCGGGCGGCCCTGCCTGGGAGAAGCCGCAGTTCTGTGCCGGCCCCAAGTTGTCTTCCCTGTGGCCCCCGTCTGCGTTTCCAGGAGCTGGTCTTTGAAGTTACAGAAGCCAGTTGAGCTGTCGTCTCCGTGTCCGCCCCTCCAATATCCAAAGACCCATGTGTCATGTCTCCTCTTCCTCGTAGGCCCCCAAGTCCCCCGACTACCCTGCCTAGGACACGGGTGGCCGTGGGGTCCTTCTCAGAGCTGGCGTCCGCCCTCTGCACACGGCCTGATGACACGGTGTCACGGCCGTGCTGGGGGAGGGGCAGGGACTTTGGAGCCAGGTGGGCTTGGGTGTGACTCCCGGCTCAAGCACCGTGTCACCTCTCGGAGCCTGTTTCCTCCTCTGTGACGTGGGACAGTAGTACTGGGGTGTGCGTGACGCTAGGCACGTGACGCAGCAGCAGGCAGCACATGCGTGTGACTGTCTGTCTCTTCCATTCTCCCTTCTGTTGTCAGTGCCCCCCATGGGGGAGCCTCTGGCGTCCCCCAGTTTCTCCTTTTGAGCCCCAGCTGCGGCCCCACCGTTTGAGGCCGAGTTCCCATCGGTCAAGCCGGGCGCGTGCCCACAACGTGCCGTGGCGTCTGGCGGAGGAGCCGGGCCTCGCCGCAGCCCCAGGCCTGTCTCCTCTCTCCCCCTCCAGATGGACACGTTCGCGGACTTCGACACCATGACGGACCGGCTGCTGGACGAGATCATTCAGCACATCCAGCTGTACAACCTCTCCATCTCCCGGATCAGGTAAGAGGAGCCCCCAGGACGTTCGTTCCGGGGGGAGGGGTGACGCCTGAGCGTGTGCCGTGTGCGAGGTCCGCACGCCGCCTCCTGCGCCCCCGGGAGGGGTTGACGTGTGGCATGTAGTGGAGCCGACTATCTGCCGAGCGGCAGCGAGTCACAGGGCCGCTGGGCACACGCACACCTTCCGTAGTGTGTGCCCGGGAGGACAGCCCTCCGGTGGGTCAGTGACAGGGGAGCTGGACTTGACCGGGCGTTCCCGGCCGCGGACTTCTGCTCAGCGCTCACGGGTGTGAATCCCGGCTCTGCCCTGGAGCCTTTCGCAGGCTTTCTAGGTCCCCAGGCCACCGTTTCTGTCAAGCAGGACAGTGTGTCACGTAGCTGAACGGACTGCCCGCCTCACAAGGGCTTCTGCTGCTGTCCTGCCGCGGTGGCAGATGACCTGGCTTGTGTGTTTAGATGGTCAAGATGACCGCAAACAGCACGGCGGCGAGTCCTCGGCATGCGTCACCCCGTTCAGGCCTCGGGGATAAAGCAGCACACCCTCGTTTCACAAGTGGGGGCTCTGCGGTGGGAGTCAGAGTTGAGGACGCAGCGTGGAGCAATGGGGAGGTGCCTGTCCCGTGCAGCGGGGTTTCCGTAAGGCCACATGTGCCTGGGGACGACGATGCGTCGGGCCTGTGGGTCCGTGTCCCCGGAGGAGGGCTGTCCACCCACGTGGCCAGGCGCAGGCAGCTCGACGCATTCGCAACGCGTGGCGGGTGTAACCGTAGAGGTAGACAGGCGTCTGGTGGTGAATGGCCTCGTGAGCCGGGCTCAGAAGGGACCCAGGGGACCGAGGACACGTGAGACCAGACAGGGCTGCTCCAATAGCACAGAGCCGGGCAAGGCGGCCACAGGCCCCTCAGACCGTACCGGGCACCAGGCCTTCGTTCCTGCGTCCCCGCCTCAGGCCTGACGAGGCCGGCGTTCGGAAGCCTCGTGCCTGTCCCCTGAGTCTGGTGGGAACGGGGGCAGCTGACCCTTGGGGCCCTGACGCGGCAGTGCCCGGCGGCTGGCCCCAGCGTCACCCTCACCTGCCCCGTTTCTGCCCGAGCAGCTTCATTGGCCACTCTCTCGGCAACATCATCATCCGCTCCGTCCTGACGCGGCCCCGGTTCCGGTATTACCTCAGCAAGCTGCACACCTTCCTGTCGCTGTCAGGGCCTCACCTGGGGACCCTGTACAACAGCAGCGCCCTGGTCAGTACAGGTAGGCCCCTCCCCCGTCCGGTCGCCAAGGAATCCATTCAGGGGAGGGGCGGCGACGCGGAGGCTGGCGTTCTCGGTGGCGGGACCTGGGCTGGGAATGATGTCCTGGTGCCGGGCGGGGCGAGAGCCCAGACGTTTCCCGCGATCTCGTCTGCTTTCAGCTTTCTGGGGACAAAAGGGTGACGTCCCGGGGCCCTGGCTGCACGCGGCTGACCAGGCGTGGTGGTGTGCAGGGGAGAGCGTGGGTCTCGGTCCATTCCGGCTGCTGAACAAGTTCACGTAGACGTCGGGGGGCGGGCAGGGCCCTTATAAACAGCAGGCGATTATTTCTCACGGCTCCAGAGGCTGCACGTCCAAGGTCAAGGCGCTGGCAGGTTCGGTGTCCGGCTTCCTGCTCACAGAGGGCCGTCTTCCGTGTCCTCACATGGTGGAAGGAGCCAGGGAGCTCGCTGGGCCCCTTTTATTAGGGTGCTCATCCCTTTCTGGGGGCTCCTCCCTCACGGGCTAATCCCCCCAAGACCATGCCTGCACTTGCCATTGTACTGAGGGCTTGGTTTCCAGCATGAAGTCTGGGGGACGCAGACGCTCAGACCGTAGCCCCGAGCGAGAAGTCTGGGGGCGGAGTCCGTAGCAGTGAGCTTTACACCCTGTCACTGCCACGGCCAGCCCGTGGCGATGCCCTGACCCAGGCGCATGCAGAGGACTGGCCAAGACATTTAACCTCCGTGCTGCTTAGTTTCCTCGTTTCAGAAATGGAGCTAACGTGTGCATGTGAATGACACGTTTATGACATGTACGTACACACGTGTGTATGTGTGAAGCCATGGATGTCTATGAACATATAAGTTACACATACATACATGTACATGGTGTGTGTGCATGTGTGTGTGTGTGCGCGTGAGTGTCATAGCACCACTGAGGATAAATGCGAGAGGGGACAGAGCATGTCGCTGGCGTACAGGACCGTGCCTCTTGCTGGGACACGCAGCCCCAGCTCCGAGGCTCGCCGGGCTCCTCTGAGCTGTGAGGAGGTGGCATCGTGGGTAAGGGAGGAAGGCTCGGTGACTCTTCCACCACGGGCAGAGCTTCCAGGACGGGCAGAGGGCAGGGCCAGGTCCGCATGCAGAAGGGAGAACCAGTGTGGGCAGGAACACGGAAGCACAGCCACCTGCAGGAGGTCCTTGGTGACAGAAATGCCACGGGGTGACCTGGCAGGGCAGCAGGTGACTGTGAAGCTCTAGCGAGGGCCCGATGACAAAGAGGCTCGCCGACGTGATGGAGTGTTAGATGAACCCCACACTGCAGGGCCCCTGCCAACGGGCAGTGACCGTGGAGGGGACGTGGTTTGGCGTGTGTCTGCCCAAGGAGGTCGCTGGGTTTTGTATAATTATAAATAGTTTAGTAAATCACGTTCCTTCTCGGTGAAGACTCTGGCGGTCCCCGACTGCCCGGTCCATTACGTGGCATCTAGAGTCACCTCCGCTAAGCTCCCCGCTCCGTGCCCGCCTCCCGGGCCTCTGCCAGCTCCCTGCACACACCTGCGTGCCGCAGGGCTGGCTGCCGGCTTCCCTCGCCTGGGGCGGGCAGACCCGTTTGTTTGCTTTTTCGTTATTTTGAGGACGCCGTTTGTGAATGTGAGTGATTTGGAGTCTTTCTATCCATCTTTCTTCACAAATCAGGGAAGCCATCTTTGGACAGAAACGAATGATTTAAACCACGTTTAATTTTTTTTCACAGTTGTAATCTTCTGACGTTACGAAAAATCTTAAAAAGAGAGAGATTGCCGATAGTTCTTCCAGTCTCGCCTGTCTAGAGTAATTTCGTACAGCGCGTCGTACTTACCTTCGCCTGCATGTGCATTTACGTGGCAGGAATCATGACAGCTAGGCTCACTGTGTCGTGTGCATTTCTTCGCATTTGTGTCAAATTTATTTTGTGTGCGGTTGTGACGTAGTACTCGTCGGTGCTGGCGTCAGCATAACTGCACGTGGATGGACAGACTCTGAAGTGTGCGTGTGGGGGTCTGTCCCGCGCCCGGATTTACGCCGGGGCCCGAGGGAACTGGAGGGCGCAGAGACTCGGATGAGTCCCGTCGCCACTGCAGTTTGCAGGACGATGTTACGTCCCTGCCCCCAGTACCTAAGAATACAGACGCCGTCTGACCTCCCATGTGTTTGCTAAAATGCCTGCTCCTCTCTTCTTTTTAAGGTAACTGAAACCCCGAGTCAGACGCGGATCTCGCCCCCCGTTATTTCTGCTTTCTTGGTCTTGTGTGTTTGACTTTGGTTTCGTTTTGTTCCCCGAGGCCTGTGGCTCATGCAGAAGCTGAAGAAGTCCGGGTCGCTCTTGCAGCTGGCCTTCAGGGATCACGCCGACCTGCGCAAGTGCTTCCTCTACCAGCTTAGCCAGAAAACAGGTGAGTGGCTTCTGCTGCGGCACCCCGGTGCGGCCCGGAGCGTGAGCTGGAGACCCACCACCCCTGCAGCCTGGGCCGGCTTCGCTACGCCGACTCACACGTGGGAGGGGAGGAGCGGGGGGCGCCCAGCTCACTCTTAACTCATCGGGAGGCCAACGGGGGCCCAAGCCCTCGGCCGTGCCTGGTCCGTCTGCCCCACGGTGCGTGGGGGGCACCATGGGTGGGCGCCAAGGTGTGTGCGAGCGTCATCTCCGCAGAGGAGCTGTAGCCCCCAATTCCTACCAGCCTTTTAATTCGCTAACTGCACAGGCTCGGGCCTGTGGGCCAGCTCACAGCGCCTCCACCCAAGTACAGTCCCATCGACGTAAAGGGCAGATGGACCTTTATGTGCACAGTGCGGAGGGAGGCGGGTCCTTGCCAGCGGGCCCGTGGCACACCTCCACCCGCACCCGCAGCAAGGACGCTCCGAGGTGGGGGAGTCCCCTCCGGCCGTGGGAACGAGCACAGGACAGCAGGGGTCTCCACGTCCCATGAGGGAGCAGAGAGGCCAGCGGGTTGGCTCACGCTGTCCTGCCGAGCAAGCCGGCCAGCCCAGGGTCTGTCCCGTGGTCCATCAGCTCACAGGCACGGACTCTGCCCCTGTCCCCGCCTCCCTGGGCGTGAGCCTGGCACGGCCACGCTGATGCGTGACCTCGGTCCCTTTGCCACCCGTGTCTCTGTGTGTGAACTGAGCAATCAGGGTAGAGAAGTGAGGTTTTTTGCTGAGGCGTGACAGCTGCGGCGGAGCGGATTCTTCCTGCAGCCTCTCAGACCGGAAGGTCCCTCCGCAGTGACACCGCCCGTGTGTCGGGCCTCTGCTCGCTTTTCCTCTCTCCGGGGCACGTTCGTACCGAGTGTGCAACCCGGAGGGCATGTGTCAGGACTCCCCGGCTGAAAGGCACACGCCTGGCTTGTTGCAGGTCTGCAGTATTTTAAGAACGTCGTGCTGGTGGCTTCTCCCCAAGACCGCTATGTGCCATTCCACTCAGCCAGGATTGAAATGTGCAAAACGGCCCTGCGAGACAGACACACAGGTGAGTAAGCCGCGTTAGACACGCAGGTGAGCCGCGTTTCCGTTTTGCGGTTTGACAAGCGGAAGGAGACCCGTGAAGCCGGCCCTGTGCTGCACGGCTGAGGGGGTAAGAAGGGGGGTAGGGACCCCGCTCACACCCGGCGATTTTCTCTAGGCCCCTCTGCTGAGCTCGCCCCGACATCTTGTCCCCTCCCCTCCTCCCAGGGCCCGTGTACGCAGAGATGATCCACAACCTGCTCAGCCCCCTGGTCGCAGCCAAGGGCTGCACTCTGGTCCGGCACAACGTGTTCCACGCCTTGCCCAACACCGCCAACGCCCTGATCGGCCGTGCCGCGCACATCGCTGTGCTGGACTCAGAGGTCTTCCTCGAGAAGTTCTTCCTGGTGGCCGGACTCAACTACTTCAAGTGAGGGAGGGGCGGGCGCTGGGGAGCACGCCAGGGCCAGGGAGGGGCCTGGAGGAGCCTGGAGCACGTCGGTGAGCGGAGACCGGAGGGTGCAGTCCTCCGCTCCTGCGGGGTGAGGCTCGGCGGGGAAGGCGCCGAGGTGGAGGGTGGGGCGGGGACCGGACGGATGTTCCAGGTGCTTCCATTTTGGAGATTCGGGAAGGCTGGACCAGTAGTACAAAGGACAACAGACTTTGCCCGAACCCGCCTGGCCACCTGGCGTCTCGCTCAATATGCTTTCTAGGGAAAATACGAGAAAATGAAGAAAACGGTCCTCGGGGTCGGCCAGCCCGCCGTCTTCAGCGCCGCTGGCCCACAGAGCGAGCGCTCCGGTCTAAGTAGATGTGTCCAGTATGTTCCCAGCTCATAGCTTTATCATTTTCGATTAAATTAAGTGCACACAAGCATTTCAGAACTCAGGTTAACCTCTGCGCAGAGCGAACACACCGTGTAAATACACCCCGGGGAGACGCACCGCTCCCCTTGTTCAGGAAGACGTGATGCCCATCCTCGCGCCCACCCCTCGTGCTTCCTCAGCGAGGGGCAAAGGAAAGCTCTGTAAACTCCAGTTTTATCTCACGACGGCGGTGGGTAGGGCCATTTAAGGTATGGCGGAGGGCAGAGGTGATGTCGTTGGTCCAGGCTCGTTCCAAAGAGAAATAACTAGAGGAAGAACGTGGTGAACTCACGGCTTCACCTGCTTCTCCAGACTTTCCCTATGCACAGCCCTGCTCCGGAAACGATTTTTATGGCTCTGAAATCTCTGTCTGCGGTAGGGGACGTGGACTTAGACCCAGGCTAGCCGAGGGGGCCACTGAGTGAACACACGCACACGTGAAGCTCCTGCTGGTATGCTTCCAAAGACGTGCTATGTTAGCGTTGGATGCCACTGCAAAAAAATCAAAACCATTAATGTGGCCAGCTGCTTCTCCTCTCCGCAGAAGGAGACAAACATCTGACCGGAGAAGTGCTGGATTCAAAACCTCAGGGGAGCTCTAAGAAGGGTGCTGGTCTCTTTCAATAGACATGTTTTCTTGCCTTAGGACAATAAAGGGCTAGGAAAGGTCACCGTTGACAACACCCAAAAGACAGCAGGGGCGCAAGGAGAGCCGGGAGGGGAACGACGGCCGGATGGGGCTTTGCCTTAAAATCGCTCTTGGTAAGTGGCTTAAGGGGAAGTTTTGAAACATACCAGGATGTTTCATACGGTCCCAATACGGACGGGCTAAAGGCAGCCTCGAGAGTCACTTAGTTGTGCTGTAGGGACGCATGGCCCAGCACGACAGGGGTGACCAACACAGGAGACCCGCCCTCTGCAGGAGACAGCTCCTGCTTCTGCAGAATGCCCCGTGAGGTGTGGGCACTCATCCAGGACCCGATTCCTGGGCTCAGCACCAGGACTGTGGCCTAGGTCACCAGCGCCATGGCAACGCAACCGAGGAAACCTCGGCTCATCCGAGAAGTTCAGTTCCTCGCATGGTAACAACGTGGCTTTGGAAGACAAGACGCCGACCATGAGGCGCATGTCCAGGTGGGCACGTTGGCGGGAGGAGACCCTTCTCAGACAGAAGGGGTGGGGAGCCAGGTGGGCGTTCTGCAAAGGCAGGCTTCCACGCAGCGGATCTGGGGGTTCCCGGTGGGCCTCTTCGAACGGTCGTTGTATCCTAGTCTTCACATGTAGGGGATCTCGAAGTCCCCTGGCCACTCTCCCACTGGGTGTTTTTCCAAGTTCCCGTGGAGGAGCTGTCTTCTGTGGGCCAGCCCGTGGTGTCGTGTTGGCTGCCCGGACGCGCGCCCCTGCTCAGCGCCTGTGGCGGCTTCTCTTCCCCGGCCCCGTCCAGTGAGGACCCTGCCCTCTGACGAGCTCATCTCACTTTGTGTTCCCACTTTCCCTGAGCAAAGGCTGTCTGTCGTTCCCTGGTCATTTGAAAGACCGTGGAGCCAGCGGTTATGGAGCCGGAGCGAATTCGATGACCATTGTCTTCTCCAAAAACCGGATGCCATTTTTAACTTCCACATGCTGTCTGGACACAGTGAGAACTCATGGCAATAAACGTCCAGATGCATGGGGTGCCTCTTTTTTATAGGGGTGCTCTGCTGTCTTTGTAAACCCTCTCTGGCTTCTGAGCATCTGTTGTAATTGTGGAGAAAGGACTATGTAAATAAGAGCGTCAGGGGTTGCGTGTCATGCCTCGTTTGGGAAGGCTTTTTTACGTCTCTTTCTATTGCCATATGGATATCTAATATATACCTATACATATAAAGTATATATAATGTAAAACAGGGACCGTCTATTATCGATCAAAATTATAAACGAAATGCCTGCCAAGATAATGATTTAGTATGTCTTCATTCTTAGCATCATTGTTTGTGTGTGTGTTTGTTTTAAATGATTTGCTAAGTTTCTCAGAACTAGTAAGAAATAAGAATTACGAATATTAAGGTGAATTGGAATTTGTTATTCAGGAGCCAGATGCATTCAGAGAAGCGGACGGGAGCCCGAAGTTACGTTGGGGACAAACTCAGTACCTCAGTGGCAGGCTGGGAGCAGCCGGAGCACCAGGGCCCGGGGATGAGGCAGAAGCCCCGCCCCCTCGTCACGACGACTTTCCCTGCATCCTCGCGGGTCTCCCTCATACAGATCCGTCTCCTTGAGAGCAAGACCCACGCCTACCTTATCAGTGTGTCCCTGTTGCCGCCCCCCCAGTTTCTGGCACAGAATGGGGGTTCAGCAAGTACCTGCTGAGCAGGGCCAGCTCGTCCGTGAAAGCCCATGCTCTCTTCTCCGGCCGCTGGGCCAGCCCACGGCAACTGCTGCTTCTGCAGAAAGGACTTGGCCTTGGCTCATGTTGACCCTCTGAGTGTCTGGACTTGCAAGAGGAAAGGAGTTTTGAGAGAGAGAACAGCGCAGTGGCCATTTTCCGTAATGGGAAAAGCCATCTCTATCCCTGGGGCCTGCTTTCAAGCCAGTGGGGCTTGGGTCAAGTTTCTTCATCGCAATAATCCATTTGAAAATATCTACTTCGAAAGGAAGTTGGGGGGTAAGGCTGAGAAGGGAGAAGCAGAGTGTCTGGGACAGTGCCTGCATAGAGCGGGTGTTTTAAAATTCGGGCAGGTACCGTAGGCATAGTTTATAACACATTTTCTTTATAATAAATGAAAAAAATGTTACATGGCCCAAAGCGATTTATACACGATGGCTTGAGGAAGATGACCTTTTTGAAACGTTAGGCTTAATCTTCCAGCACTTGGAACATTTCATTCTGATTTCAGGAGCCTCCAGACTGGGGTTTTTCAGCTCGGTTCAGTGCACGATCGACGTAGTGCAGTCATTTTCCCGCTCAGGGCTCGGTGTGAGCCACCGTTGAGAGTCGAGCAAGGGCTTCGGCTGCACACACAGCGGAGAACAAGACGACGTCTCATTTAAGGTGTTTGGAAGTTTGAATTCTGTAAACGCCGCTCGCCATTTTTTTTTTTTTTTCATTCTAGCACGCCGAAATGTCTTTTAGCCCAAAGTTAAACTTATGGCATCTGGCCAATACCTGCTTCATGCTCCTTGCTCCGAGGAGTTGGGTGATGATCCGGGCACGTCCAGTAACCTAGGCACATGTCTTTGCTCGTTTTTTTGTTTTTTGTTTTTGTTTTTCCTTTGAAGAGGGCACCCTATCTGTTCCACGTTCTGTCTTCTCTGTATGTAACATAATGCGAAAGTCTGATGTCACTTTTACAGTCTCACCGTAACTTATCTCTGATGGTATTTCTTTTTAAACAGTGATTATTTAGTCTCGGCCTTGTTCCGTGCTAAGCACTGGTGGCTACAGACGGGACCCTGCCCTTCGAGAATTTATAACCTAGCGGGGAGAACGGACGCCCCCATAAATAGAGGGATGTCCATGTAGACGGAATAGTAAGGCAGGAGAGTAGGAGGGACCCGTCGAGAATATCATCGTCCCGGCACCCTGAAAACAAATCACGCTCCTGGTATTAGGGTCTGGGGTCCCCTCAGAGTCTGGAAGCCTTGGATAAGAAGTCGCAGTGAAAGCCACGCCACTCAGGTAGGACTTCGGAGCTTCCTTGGAGCTACCATCACCAGGTCAGTGCCAAGCCGGGAAATTTGCAAAAGGAGAAGCTGAACAGCGTACGGTACAGCCCGGTCTGTCAAGACGCGCCTCCCCCTGGGCGGCATGTCACCTGTCTGTAGTACGAAGCCTCCGAATGCCCTGTGACTTATCTTTCCCCTTTTCAAATTAATAGACAAAAGTAGGTCATCAAATAAGGCACATGAGTCGTGTCCACAACATTACCACAGGCAGACGTGGCCGAGAGAATCAGCCTGAGGCTTGTGTTTATTCATCATACAGGGCAGGGCTCTGGGACTTAGTTTCACTTAATTTAGTTCGGTTTAGTTTTCAGATGTGACCTGCCACATCGTAGAAGAGAGGCAGGGTCTTTGTCATGGTCCCCTTCTCTGATAAAGAACCTGAATGTATAGCTTGAGGTCACTGTGAATTCCTAACCCGTCTTCATGCTGGTGACAATATCTGTAATACAATAATCATAGTCTCCTCCATACCCCGCAAACTGTCTGTAAAACAACGGTAATAAGAAAATCATTAGTGCCAATATAATTCTCCTATTTTTCTACATTGGCTCTTTTGTTGGCATTTTGTGTAGCTCGTGCTGTGTATAAATGATAACAACAATAATAAAAGCCCTTGACTTCCTTTTTCCAGGACTTTGTGTGTGTGGAATGTGTAGTAAACATTCTTCAGAAATGCATGCAGGGCTGAAGAATTATGTCCATGTTTGCTCAGAGGACATTGGGGCGTGGTGGTTATTTCCAGGGTACACACTGGAAGAAGGGCCCAGGGTATCCTGGGTGGATGAGCAGAGCCGCGAGGGAACTCTAAACTGGACAGGCCAGGTCTGGGGATGGGATGTGTCATTCAGTGACCGGGAGACTTG